CTACTACTACTACTACTACTACTACTACTACTACTACTACTACTACTTCATTCACATTATCGACAACCCTCCACTAAGAGCAGTAAGTGCAGCAATCCTGCTTCTTGCACGCCCCCAACACTAGGAACCAGGCCACTGTGCTACGTGGATAATCGTGGATATAACACAACAGACATCAACAGACTATTCTTTGCGCCTCGCGCTGCCAGCGGTGTGGGCCAACACTGCAGAGGGAACTCTGATTGCTGATAACGTCACTTGAGGGGCCTGGAGAACTTGCTCGCTTTGTTCCATGAAAGCTGATCTACGGAGGCTAACATATGTGCTCTTTTGCTTCGCTAGGTGGTCACTCCGGGTTGGGAATGTGAAGGCCAGAATCTCAACTTTTGAGAGCCTGTTAGCCTATTATGCTCACTTCTGAAATATGCGTAGATCTTTGTAGATCTCTGCGAAGAGATGAGACGTCCTCGGCAGATGTTTTTTTCACGACGCTACGGCCGAAGGACGGTGTCGTGCCAGCCCCGGAGTCGGCCCACCACTGTGGAGCGAGGTGGTGCGAGGGGGGCGCGGAGGCCGAGAACGCCAGACAGGGAAAAACACCAATGTTTAAACCAAATCAATGAATTAATAATACCAGCGAATCTAGCGATGGCCTCCACCATAGAAGCCTTAGAAGCACTGGCCTCCAACCTACTAGCGTTGGCCTCCAACATAGAATGTCATGACTTGTCATGACTTGAGGAATAGAGAGGACTTGGCCGAAGGGCTTTTGTGGACTTTCGCATTCCAATTGAGGTGTCTCAATTGGTGGGGCTGAGCGCTTTCCAAGAGCAGGTGCAAGTTTCTGTCAACCCCACAAACCGTCAGAATGAATCGAACCAGGATTGATCCATGCTACAAATAACAAATAATACAAATCTATTTGCTGCTCTCCCACCGAAGAAACCACGATTCTCGCCAGCTGACGTGAGCTGCAGCCCCGGTCCCATCTACAAGTTGCCGGAGGCTGACCGCTTTTTGCTTCTTCTGATCCAACATGTCAAGAGATCAGCTCAACGGGACAGTGTAGCGATGGCCTCCAGCCAAATAGCGATGGCCTCCAACGTAGTAGCGATGGCCTCCAACCTAGTAGCGATGGCCTCCAGCCAAATACCGATGGCCTCCATCCTAGTAGCGATGGCCTCCAACCTAATAGCGATGGCCTCCAACCCAGTAGCGATGGCCTCCAGCCTA